ATCCAAGTGATTTCTTTAATCAAGACATTAACAACCTGATTGTAAGATGGAAAAGCATCATCGATAAGAATGGAGATAATAAATGTTTTGTTTTGATATATAAGTTGTTCGAGTTTTTTCATCTAAAAAAAGCGACATTAATTTCTTGACGACCTAATAATTATATGGAATAGAAACCTGCAACAAATAGCTTTTTTATATACAAATTATTTTGTATGAGACTTTTGTTTCAATTACTTATGTCGTCTGACTCTATTAGTAGTTTTTGTTCATAAACAATTACCAAATATATTTCTAAGGTGTTTAATAGAGAAAAGCAAACTCTGCTAGCTATTCCAATCTATGTTCTCCAAAATCAAGAAAGCAAAGTCTAATGCTTGGAACACATTAAGATGAAAAACAGTGAAGTATTGCATTCTTTCAGTGCTGTAAGATTCAAACCACACCATTATTATCAAGCGACGTAGGCAAAGAAATGGCAAATTCGGCAGACCTTGTAATTAGTAGACCTCGAGGGAACCATGTAATGAAACTACCGTATGTGCCACCTTGTAAATGTTTAAATACTTCTGTCAATTAAATCGAAAGACTAAAAAATTTCAGTAAAGGAAATCAAACAATAATCGGGAAAGAAGCTTTGAAGGAAACAAATTATACTGCAAGTAAGGGGTCAAAAAGAGGGGGTTATTTAATCTCCATGACAACTGATCAATATGATCAAACAATAATCGGGAAAGAAGCTTTGAAGGAAACAAATTATACTGCAAGTAATGGGTCAAAAAGAGGGGGTTATTTAATCTCTATGACAACTGATCAATATGATCAAACAATAATCGGGAAAGAAGCTTTGAAGGAAACAAATTATACTGCAAGTAATGGGTCAAAAAGAGGGGGTTATTTAATCTCTATGACAACTGATCAATCTGAAAGTTTCGGATTTTGAATGTTTCCTAAACATTATGTTCGTAGTTCATAATATTTCCTAAACAAGTAATGTTCTTCACTTTTTAAAGTTTCCTAAACAAATAATGTTACTCACTTTTTAATGTTTCTAAACATAATGTTCCTAGTTCATAATCTTTCCAAAGCAAACGATATTTCTTACTTTCAGTTTTTACTAAACAATTAGTGTTTTATGTATGCAATGTTTTTTTTTAAATAGTATTGTTTTCCACTTGTTATGTCTACTAGACAAATATTGTCGCGTTATTTCCTTCGGTTTAATTTAAACTTTCATGCATTTTCACTCAGTTTAGATATACATTTGGAAAGTACAGAAACATTGTTAATATTGATTAATTTATTGTAAATCTTTCGAAGTTTGGATATGAGGTTTTTCTTAAATTAAATAAACAAATAATGTTCCTCACGGGAAATATTACGAACTAGTAACATTATGTTTAGGAAATATTACGAACTAGGAACGTTATGGTTACGAAATATTACGAACTAGGAAAGTTATGTTTAGGAATCATCAAAAAGTGAGGAACATTATTTGTTTAGGAAATATTACGAACTAGTAACATTATGTTTAGGAAATATTACGAACTAGGAACGTTATGGTTACGAAATATTACGAACTAGGAAAGTTATGTTTAGGAATCATCAAAAAGTGAGGAACATTATTTGTTTAGGAAATATTACGAACTAGTAACATTATGTTTAGGAAATATTACGAACTAGGAACGTTATGGTTACGAAATATTACGAACTAGGAAAGTTATGTTTAGGAATCATCAAAAAGTGAGGAACATTATTTGTTTAGGAAATATTACGAACTAGTAACATTATGTTTAGGAAATATTACGA